CCCTCTCCTCTGGAAAGTTTGTGGCCACAGAGACTGGAGACACGTTAGGAAGAAAAACCTCCAGAACACGGCCAAACAGCCTGAAAAAACTTACAACAACCAATTTCCATAGACTTTAACTGGTGCTTTAAAAGATATGAAGGATGCATGGAAACTTCCCGTTCTGTACCCAGATAAAAAGTGCACAGATTTGGATCAAGAGTGATCTTTACAAAGAAGGATGATCAGGAAACCAAGCCCTAAGAGGAAAGGCTAAAAATCTGGATATGTTTAAGGGTGAGGGGGAGAGAGGAGAGCACTTTTGAAAGGTTGTCCCACAGAGGAGGGGCAGGATCCGTTCTTGATCATCCCAGAGTGCAGGACACACCATAACAGATTCAAGCTATATGAAGCCAGATTTCGGCTGAATGTCAGTAAAAAAAGTCTTAACGGTTAGAAGAGTACGACAATGGAATCCATGGAAGTGTTCCAATGCTGGCTTTGCGAATCAGTGATTTTGCTGCAGAAGAGTTCAGTAACGTTGATGTCTCTCCACTTCCAACTTCATCTAAAGGACCACAAGGTCTCCACCCTGATAAAAAAAACGTTGATCTGTAAATGTGACCTCTCCTCCTTCTAGGTGATTCCAGGGATGTCCTACAAATGCATGGAGCTGAACCTCAGTGGGATCCCACCTGGCCTTCCCCATTCCACGGAGAGCCTGGACCTTAGCTTCAACCCCTTGAAGATCCTGACCTCAAATTACTTCTCATCAGTCCTCGCGCTGAGGTTTCTAGACCTCACCAGGTACTATGGCCTGTTACTTGGCTTCTGGTGCTCACCAGCCCAAGAGGGAAAATCTGTGCTCTTTGAGTCATACTGAGAGAGACAGGGGGCATAGAGACACACATATTTGATGCAAATGAAAATACTCTCTTCAGCCTGGTTTGAAAAAAATGCTGTAGTGATTTTTATGTCTCAGTGTAAGACACTGGTTCCCAACCTTGGGAAACCCAGATGTTCTTGGACTACCATTTCCAGAATCCTCCACAATTAGCTGTGCTGGCCAGGACCTCTGAGAGCTCCAGTCCAAGAACATCTGGATTTCCCAAGATGGGGAACCTCTGGGCTAGAACATGGGTGTTGCACATGTGGCCTTCCAGATATTATTGGTCACAATTCCCTCTTCCTTAAAAAGAAACTATATTTTTAAGAGCGATTTCCAAAGCTTGTGAGACTTTGGAACCCAAGCACAGTTGGAAAGCAACAGGCTTACCACCTGTGTGTAAGAGAATTACAGCGTCATGCAGGGTGTGGAGGAAGGAAATAAATTTCAAGTCTGCCTTTCCAACTAGATTCCCCCCCCCCCAAATGCAGTTAATACAAGTACATCAGTATCGCAAGGGAAAGCAGATGTACTGGACATAAAAGAGACATAAAACTTATTTCATTGAAGGAGTGGAAATTTTTGAAAAGCCTAGGAGAATAAAGAAAGGGTTTGTAATGGTCGTGGAGGGAGAGGAATGCATAAAAATAAAAGAGTAGAGACCAGATGCACTTGCCTTGAGAAATCATTCCACAATGAGGGAGTTCACGCAGTGAAAGACGTAAATATATTTCATCTGCCTGATGGAGTGTAAAAGCCAGGCCTGCCTCTTCTAGACCCTCTCCTCTGGTTTTCCAACAGATGCAACATCCAGAACATTGAAGACAAGGCTTTTGCGGGTCTCTGTAACCTTTCCGTCTTGATCCTGACCGCCAATCCTCTTCACTTCTTGGGCCAGAAAGCTTTCCACGATTTGACTTCCCTGAGAAGGCTGGTAGCTGTTGAGACCAACCGGTTTTCCCTGGAGGACCTCCCCATCGGACACTTGACAGCCCTTCAAGAGCTGAACCTGAGCAACAACCACATCCATTCCTTAAAGCTTCCGGAATATTTCTCCCAGCTACACTCTCTCCAGTTTCTGAGCCTCCAGTCAAACATGATCTCCGCCATCTTTGTTGGAGACTTCGAGACCTTGTCCAGCCGAAACCTCTCGCTGGTATTGTCCAGGAATGAAATTCAATCGATCGAACTTGGTGCCTTTGCAGGGGTCTACCTTCAGCAACTTACCCTGAGGGGCTCTTTCAAGAACAGCGCCCTGATGCAGGCTGGCCTCCACAATCTGTCAGGTCTACAGGTCACCAGCCTAGTGTTGGGAGAATATAGAAACATTGAAAAACTAGAGACCTTTAACAAGGACCTCTTGGATGGCCTGTGTCATATCCGCCTGCAGGAGATAACACTCATCCATTTTTCAACCATTGATGACACCAACCAACTTTCTAATTGCTTGAATGACATCCCTACGGTGCGGCTGGTGAGCACCTATGTCCACCAAATGTCCCCGTTTCCGGAAAATGCCAGCGTACGCCATCTCGAATTCAAAACCTGCAAATTCAGAGAGGTGCCCGCTATGCAACTCTCTTCCTTGAAGGAATTAAGAGTACTTCGGATCACCCAGAGCCCAAGGCACCTCACCTCGTTTGAGGAGAAATTTACGGACCTACGCCACCTTGAGACCCTTGACCTGAGTGAAAATAGCCTCAAGGCTTCCATCTGCTGGACTTGCCTCTCAGAGGGGGTTCCGAATTTGAAGCATTTGAACCTTAGCTTCAACTCCGTCATCATCTTGCCGGCAGAGTGCGGCATCTCCAAACTTGAATATTTGGATGTACAACACACCAAACTGTTTAACACAGGAGCTGCCCCGTCGTTCTTGTGCCTCGAAAAACTAATCTACCTTGACATGTCTCACACCAACACCAAAATTGTCATCGACAATGTGTTTCATGGTTTGTACAGCCTGAGGGTGTTAAAAATGGCCGGCAACTCCTTTGAGGGTAACCAGCTAGGTGACATCTTCAAGAAACTTACCAAGCTCCAGATCCTGGACCTTTCAAGTTGCAAACTGCAGCATATCTTAGCTAGCAGCTTGGCCCACCTCCATGATCTCCACTTGCTGAACGTCAGCCAAAACAAGCTGGTAGAACTCCATCCTGAGGTATACGCCCACCTCCATGCTCTCACTGTACTGGATTTCCACAGCAACCAGTTGAACGCTTTGACAGACCAGAATCTGGAGAACTTGCCAAGGAGTCTGAAAAGCCTGGACCTCTCTCAGAACCTCTTTGACTGTTCTTGTGACCACTTGAACTTCTTGAGGTGGGCCAAAAAGCACAGGGGCCTTCTTCAGCATCACGAAAACATGGTCTGCCATAGCCCCGTGGACTTAAAAAATGTACCTCTGATGGATTCTGATTTGTCGTGTTCGGTAAGTATGACCACTGTGGCTGTTGCCGTTGGCACCACGTTAGTCCTGGCCTTATTTGGGATTCTGGTTTATAAATACTATTTCCATCTCTATTACATGATGGTGCTACTCAGTAGAGATCGCCTTGCGACTGAGAAGGACACCGTTTATGACGCTTTTGTTATCTACTCCAGCGAAGACCAGGAGTGGGTGACGCGGGAGTTGGAGGAGACCCTCGAAGCTGGCGTGCCTCGCTTCCGCCTTTGCCTCTACTATCGGGACTTCATCCCCGGAGTCTCCATCATCACCAACATTATCAAGGAAGGCTTCCAGAGCAGCCGGAAAGTCATCGCCGTGGTCTCCACCCACTTCCTGGAGAGCCGGTGGTGTAACTTTGAGTTGGAGGTGGCACAGTCTTGGCAGCTTCTGGACAGCAAGGCCAGTCTCGTCTTGATTGTTTTGGAAGGGGTGGACAAATCCGTGGTGCAGAAGAAGCTGGGCTTGTTCCGCTACTTGAGGAGAAACACTTATCTGGTCTGGAGGGACAGGGAGTTGAATCGGCACATGTTCCTCAGGCAGCTGAGGTCAGCGTTGCTTGAAGGGAAGACATGGACCGAAGAAGAACTGAAATCAATGTTAACTAACTAGAGTTACATGTCTAGATCACCTTGGGTGGCCTCTCTGAGACAGTCCACATGCAAGAGCTGTTGTCTGGATGAAATTCCTTGGGATGTCTTGGTGTGTGCCCCAAACAGCTCCTGCTTATGGGAGGAGAGGTCCTCCTTGTTTGGGAAAAAGCTTGGTGAACCATGTGCCACAAAACCATCTGTTTCAATCCAGAAAAGTGCTCACCAAAGACATCTCAATAGGCTTGAAGGTTCCACTAGAGTCTCGATGTGTCTGTGTCTCTGCCTCGCTGTGTTTATGGATTTACGCCAGCTGTTTCCAGGTCATGTATGAGTCTGGGCAAAATTTCTGTTGAGCTCCGTGGGGCTTACTCCCAGGTAAAAGGGTACTGGATTGCAGCCTGAACTGACAACATGGGTTATGGGGCACACCAAGCAGGTGTAAACAAGGACATTTTTCAAAGTTCCTCGAGATCAAGCTAGAAGAGAAAGCAATGACCAAAGGTTCTGGGTTTCAGAAGGTAACAATTCTAAATTAAAGGAGGATAATTGAGCAGGATTAGTGAAATTGTGTTGTTTGCATGCGACAGCTCAAGAAATCTCCCCGGCTCTCTCTCTCCCCATCCCTCCCGCCTCCTCTCGTTCTTCCTAGGTCTTTGACAAACAATTCACAGGGTAAACATGTTTCTGCTTCAAATCACATGTCCTAAGATTTTTATTATTATTATCATTATAATAATGGGTTTCTGAAAGCCCAGAAGCAGCCAGGGGAATGATAATAAGAGTTTACGGCACACGTTTTGTTGATAGAGGAGGCTGTTTGTTGGGTACAGAGCTTCGCTGCAGCAAATCGCTCATGGGACCATGTTGTGTAATGGTGTACCTAACGAAGGGCCAGTTGCGCATGGTGAGGAGTCCTTTCTGCACAGGTAGCTGGTTGCCACAACATCACAAGGTAGGTGGGAGGAATTTTAGAGATAAGGCATCAAACATACTTTGCATGTGGGAAGCTACAAGCTGAATAGAAAGGAGATTTTCCCCCTTTCTCCCTGAAAGTTCTTCTCTAAATAGAAGCTTTTATTTACCAGTATTTTCTGACACTATCGTTTCATGAAACACTTCCTGCTCCTCCTCTTCCTCTTTGCCTTCCTCCCCATCCTCTTCCTGTCCCTGGCATATCTCCCAACATTAGAACTAGTCAAACAAGTACAAATGCCAGATTTTTGCCCTCCGACTCCAGAGTAAATAAGCAAAGCATCAAATAAGCTTGCCGTATAAGCACACAAGATGTCTGTGGTTTCCAGGAAGGGCTTGAGCACCTCCACCATCTGGGAGAGGGCCAGCCAATCCATGGCACTGATGCCCACCTCTGTGTCTCCCCCCCTGGCAGAATGGGCATGGAGGACATGATGTCCTCCAAAATGGCCTTCTGCTCCACCAGGCGGGACACCATGGTGCAGGTGGATTTCCACCTGGTGGGCAGGTTTGTCAGGTGAACATGGGTCTCCTGACCCAACTCCTCCTGCCTCTCATGCAGCCGTCAGGCTCCACTTCATGGAGTGTGTCCTGCCTCATGCTCCCGGCCCCAGAAACCCCTGTGGCAGCCCTTTTGAAAGGAGGCACTTCCTCCTGCCTCCCCTGGTTCTGCTCTTTTCCCTCTCCCAGATGGCGTGGACGAAGTGCCTTCCCTGGACATTAGCCTTGGGTGGTGCCTCTCCAGATGTTGGCAGAGAGCGGTGGAGGACAGATGCCTGGGGTCTGACCCCCTCCAGACCACCCCAAGGCAGGTATGGCAGCATGCCAGCCGTGGGTCATTGCTGAGCGCCGTGAAATGATCCCACATGGCCCCTCTGCCATATTTGCCCAAACGAGGACCCACTGCCTGCCCCTGACTGCTGGCCTGGGAAGAACTCTCTGTCCCAGGACACTACTGATCTGGGAGGAGGGAACCGATGACTCTGGGAATGGGGGGTGGGCTTGTGAAGCCTGCCCTGCCATTACTGGTTCCAAATCAGACTGGAGATCTTCGGAAACCAGTAACTCCTCTGATTTCCTCTAGGAAGAGCAGCGACAGTTCTTTTGGCACCTCTGGAAGCTTTGTTTGATCTTTGCCTGCAAGGCCACCGGAGGAGAGACAGTGGCAGCACTGGCTATCGTAGACGTGTTTGCGCATGTGGTAGTCATGATGATGGTGCTGCTACCTAGCCTGCGTAGCTTCACATCCTTCTTCCCCTTGGATTGCCCCTGAAGAAATCCCTTCATTTTCTACTGCCTGACGAACAAACCAACTAAACAAATAAAGCAATGGAGATTGAGGAAGGAAACCAATAGAGGGTCAGAGTGTGTGTGTATATTTTATTTTTAGAATGATGGTGGTGTAATTCTTTTACTAAAATGTGACCTGCCTGCCTGGACAAAGCCTCCCCAGAGAGACACAAGCCTCCCTAAAATGAACTTTTGAAAACTGAATCTCACACCTAGACATGCACGAACACACACACACACAAAACCAACACACACACACACACACACACACACACACACACACACACACACACACACACAGAGCAAAAAAAGGTTGG